TGTACTTCTACATACTCTTTCACAGTGCGGTGCTTTAAAACACATTTGAATTACATGTATTCACTTATCTGTGTGTGTATGGGGCGGAGCCATTTTCCCTGTGGTGATCAAAGACAAGAGTGAACTCTCTCCACCATGTGGGTTCTAGGAATTGAGCTCAGACTTGGTGGCTGGTATTTTTACCTGCTGAGCCATTGTGCTGGCCCTGCAGAGAGCTTTTGAGATATTTATTTATTTTATTTAAAATATTTTAACATTCTTACTTACTTCATGTGTTTGGGTATGTTGCCTGTGCATAAGTCTGCACACTATGTGCACTCAGAGCCCCAAACTGGAATTATAAATAGTTGTAAGCTGTGACATAGGTATTGAGAATTGAACCCAGGTCCTCTGGAAGAGACACAGGTGCCTGTAATACTTGAATCCTCTCTCCAGCCTCAAAGAATTTATTTTTAATTGCATGCATATGCATACGTCCGTGTGTGGTTTTAATCCCATGCACATGTGTAAGTCTGTGTGTGGGTATGTGTTTGTGAGTGTAGGAGCCTGTGGGGGCCCAAGAGGGGATCGGATCCCCTGGAACTGGAGTTACAGATGGTTGTGTTGCCGTGTGGGTGCTGGAACTGAACTCAGGTCCTCTTGAAGAGCAGCCTGTACTCTTTTTTTTTTTTTTTTTTTTTTTTTTCGGTTTTTCGAGACAGGGTTTCTCTGTGTAGCCCTGGATGTCCTGGAACTCACTCTGTAGACCAGGCTGGCCTTGAACTCAGAAATCCGCCTGTCTCTGCCTCCCAAGTGCTGGGATTAAAAGGCATGCACCACCACTGCCCTGCCGAAGCCTGTACTCTTAACCACAAGGTCATTTCTCTAGCTTCATTTGTTTGCCTTTGAGACAGGGTCTCACTCTATAGCCCCAGGCTGGAACACACAGAGATCCCCCCCCCACCTCTGCCTCCAGTACTGGGATTAAAGGTGTGCATCACGGCACTTGGCCATTTCTCCTGCATTCATTTCCCCTTCCATGCTGGGCGTCAAACCCAGGGCCTCAGACCTCATGGGTAAACCATGTCCCAGGGAGTCGCACCCATTGTTACACTGAACAGATGTCTAATGATCTGATTGTGGACTGGGATAATGGCTCAGTGAGACAAGCATGAGGACTGGAGTTGGAATTCCCAGCATCCATGCAAAAGTAGCGTGTGGTTGTGTACACCTGTGACGCCAGTGCTGGTGGAGGCAGAGATAGGAGGATAACATGTTTGCTGCGTGCCAGCCTAGCTCTACCTTGTGAGAGAGTCTGCCTCCAGGGAATAAACGAGTCTGAGAGCAGACAATTGATGCCACATTGGCCTGTGCATGCTCGTGTGTGTGTGTGTGTGTGTGTGTGTGTACGTGTACGTGCATGTGTGCATGTGCATGCGTGTATGTATGTGTATGCATGTGAATTTACCAGGAGAGGCCAGAAGAAGCATCAGATCTGCCAGGAGCTGGAATTCTCGGCAGTTGTAAGCCACCTAACATAGGTATTGAGGACTAAGCTCCAGGCCTCTAAAAGGGCAGGAAGTGCTCTTAATTGCTGAGCCTTCTCTCTGGCCCTCTGGCCATGTTTCTGTGTTCACTTAGTCACTTAACAAAAGTGTGAAAGTGTTTCAGAGTGTACCCTGTGCGGGCACTGTTCAATGTCCTGAACTTGCAGCTGCACAGGATGGCGAAAGTCTTCCTTCTCACAGGCCTGAGAGCCCCGTGGGACAGGCAGCCAATCAGCAGGCAAGTGCCATGTCTTCCCCATGTCCTCAGCAGCAGGGAGACGCAGCCTGGCACTGTACCCAACTGCCAGAGGGCTCGCCCCACTGTACCCAGGCACCTCCCCCTCAGGCAAAGCCAGAGAGGATGTGGGAGGAGACTTTCCAGAATGAGCTGGAACAAAGTAAAGAGAATGAGTTTATTAAGTATACAGACAAACAGACAGATAGACAAACAGGAGAAAGACAATCTTAAGATATGAATACTGGCTTCTCAAGGGAATTTCACCCGCAGGTGTCTACAATGGGCATCTGTAAGATTCTTCAGCTTTCTAAGTTACAGTTCTAAAAGGATGTAGTTTATAAGATTTTGGGATTTTTTTTGGTTGTTTTTTGTTGTTGTTGTTGTTGTTGTTTTGTTTTTTAGAGACAGGGTTTCTCTGTGTAGCCCTGGCTGTCCTGAACTCACTCTGTAGACCAGGCTGGCCTCGAACTCAGAAATCTGCCTGCCTCTGCCTCCCAAGTGCTGGGATTAAAGGCGTGCGCCACCACCGCACAGCTGTTTGGTTGTTTTTTTGAGACAGGGTTTCTTTGTGTATCCTTGGCTGTCCTGGAACTCACAATACAGGCCAGGTTAGCCTCGAACTCACAGAGATCTGCCTGCCTCTGCCTCCAGAATGCTAGAGTTAAAGGCATGGGCCGTCACGGCCTGGGCTAATTTGTAAGTTTAAAAGTTAAGTTGAAATATGTTCTGGTTTACTTACTTTCTTAAAGAATTCCCTTTGGTGAATGGAATTGTAAGATGGTGTGCGTGTGTGTGTCGGTATGTGGATATGTTGGAGTGTATGGGTATGTATGTGATGTGTGTGTGTGTCGATGTATATGTTGGTGTGTGTGTTGATGTGTCAGTGTGTGTGTCAGTGTGTGTGTGTCAGTGTGTGTTGATGTGTGTCGGTATGTGTGTCGGTATATTGGTGTGTGTGTTTAAGTGTGTATGTCAGTGTGTGTGTGTGTGATGTGTGTGTAAGTGTGTGTATGCAGAGGTCAGAGGACATCATTTCACCTTTCGCCTTGTTTGAGATAGGGTCGCCCTTGTTTCTTCCTGGCCTGGATACTCCAGGATTGCTGGCTGCCGTGCTTCCAGGCGGTGCTGCCTCTCTCCTCCCCCTCCCTCTGTAGTCTGGGGATTATAAATGTGTGCTGCTGCATTTGGCTTTTTAAATTTAAGTTCTGAAGATCCAAACTCAGATCATCAGGCTTGTGTAGCAAGCTACTGTACCTGCTGGTTGTCTTCTGGGCCCTTGAAATCATAAGAAAAAGCCAGGACAGTAAGTGAACATTAAAAAAAGAAGAAGAGGAGGAGGAGGAGGAAAGAAATCACAAGGCAATTTTGAGGTTCAGTACAGATTTTGGGGTGAGTGAAGACTATTAATATGCTGAAATTCAAAGTGAACACAGCTTTCCATTCTTCATCATTAGACTGTCTTCAGGAAGGCATTTAAGCAGGTGATTTCTGCTTTGTCGGTTGCACTGAAATTTCTCAAGACTGTCAGCAGGAGGGGCATCCTGGATCATAGCAGGAGGGGCTTCTTCTTTTCTCCGGTACCGTGATGGACTAAAGACATAGAAGCCAGGGTGGAGAAAGGGTGGGGTCGGGGGATGAGCGTGAGCCTCTCAGAAGAACTGAGCTTGGGGAAGGGAAGCCTCCCAGCCAGTGTGTGAGTAACAGGAAGTACCCCAACAAGAGGGACCGAGTGTGGCGGAGGCTTCAGGCAAAGGCCTGCCATGGTCTCAGTGATGTTAGGGCATTTTTATGGTTCCCTGTAGAAGGAGGTGGAGGCAGAAGACATCTCTGCAGGCAGAGACGGCTGGGAGCCATGTTGTGTCTAGAGATGTGGAAGCTGGTCCTGAGAGGAACAGAGTTTAAAGGCAGAACATTCAGAATCACCTGTGTGGATTATGGTTTATACACTTTAGTGATTAACTCTGAGTCACCAGTAAAATATGTCACATTAAGGGAAGGAATAAAAGCACCTGGGGGAAGAAATAAGAAAACATTTTGAGTCCAGATTTGAATTTTCCGCTACATGCTTCCTGCATCTTCTATTCTGTGGGAATCCGTGCCTGTCTGAAGAAGGCGGTCTTGTGAATGTGTCTGTCCCTGAATGTGACTGTGTAACTGTGTCTTTCGTATATTCTGTCAGTTGTGTGACCACATGTGTCTCCTGGGTGACCATGTCTGTCCCCCACAAAGGATTTCTGTCTTCAGTAGAACAGCAACACAAGCATCAAAGGGGAAGGGATGGGACACTCTACATCTTGTCCAGAATTTTATAAGGATTGATTAAGTCACTGGCTCCAACTGACCCCAGACGACAGCAGTAATACAGACGTCACTGCTTATCAACCGGTATCCATGAATGGATATTCATTTCAGAAGGTTGCTTTCAGCAAAGGACACACATGCATTGTTGTGGGTCGGGGGCATGGAAGAGTCCTTGAGATCACAGCTATGTGTTGGCTTAGGCTGTAAAAGCTGATTACATGGGAAATCCAAAGCAAGTAAGGTTAAGTTACTACATTGTTTTTTTAAAGGCTGACTAAACATGCAGGCCGAGCACACAGTGGGATAGCCCTTATTCTTGTTTTTTTTTTTTTTTTGTTTTTTGAGATAGGGTTTTACTGTGTAGCCCAGGCTGGCCTTGAACCCTTCACCCCCTTAAAGGCTGGCTGCTGGGAATGACAGGTGTGTGGCGCCATGCTAGATATCCTTGGGAAGAACTCCTTTTTTTCTGCCTGTGCATCCCGGAATAGTCTGTGGAGAGCAGGGTCGGCTTCTTTGAGTTCTCTGTGAAATTGTACTGGCTTTTACTTTTGGACACTTCGTCCTCTGCTCTCACCAGCCTTTGATTTCTCTAAGAGTCCACAGCTCTTCTGGTATTTACACGTGGGCCTTATTCTGAGACTGCACAATAGTACCGTTGGTCATCTGGTATTTACGCATGGGCTTTATTCTAAGACTGGGCTGTAGTACCGTTGGTGACTGCCAGCCAGACCGCAGGGACATGTCTGGTGGGATTGGGGTTTCCTGTTGCCTCTTGTACACTGAAATACTGAGTTCCAAAAATAAGTGGCCCTAAAAACCCCACCTTTTTGACCTGGGCTAGGCTGCTCTCTGAGCACCCTGGGGCCTGGTTTGGGCTCTACTCCCCATCACCAGGTTTCAGGGACCTCAAGTGCTTCTTTGTCCCGCCCCTCCAGGCAGTCACTCGCAGACCCAAGGTGGCTCCCACCAAGAGGATGAGCAGGTTCCTGAAGCACTTCACAGTGGTCGGGGATGACTACCACACGTGGAACGTCAACTACAAGAAGTGGGAGAATGAGGAGGACGAGGAGGAGCCAGCGCCTACATCAGCGGAGGCCGAGGGCGGCGCTGCGGGTACAGATGCTGAGGCTGGCTCTGTCTCCACACCCAGGCCGTCCCTGGACTTCAGGACCAGGCTAAGGAAACTCTTCAGTTCCCACAGGTTTCAGGTAAGAGAGTGAGGGGTCACCAGGTCCCTAAGGTAGAAGCCCCCTGTGCCACTGCCACCCTGGTGCCCCACAGGTGATTTCTCAGCTTCTTGCACGTGCCATGCTCCGTGGTCTGACCTGCATTAACAGTGGGGGAGGGGTTGTGCTGTGACCTGTCCCACCAAGGGGTAGGATTTGGGCATGACAAAGAAGAATGTGCAGATCCATGCTGCAACTTTGAACACATGACCTGAGTGGACAGGCCAGACAGGGAAGGTCCCGGTTGCGTGTGCTGCCAGATAGCTGAACTGTCCAGCATAGCCAGCCGTGTAGACAGATGGGAGGCTGTGGGAGGGAGGAGGGAGAGACGGGGTGGTTACTTGAGGAAGATGGGATTTCCTTTTGCGGTGGTGGTGGAAATACACTAGAACTAGACAGTGGTGGTGGCTGCACAGCCTTGTGACTGTACCCACTGCCACAGATCTTCATGGCAACCTATGAATGGTTACTTGAGGTTAGTTATTTTCATTGTGAATAATTGGCCCATGTGTATGCTCAAAGTACACTACGAAAGAAGTATTCATTCCAGAGTGCCTGCTTCTGGACCAGGGCATGAGGGTCCCCTGCTCTTCAAGCTCAGCACCATGCCTGGCCCTGACCCCAGAACACGTGGGGAAAGCGCTTGTTGTGCAAGCATGAGGGCCTGAGTTTGATTCCCCAGCCCCCAGGGAAGATGTCAGATGTGGCAGTCCATGCCAGGAATCCCAGCACTAGGAGGTAGACAGAGAAGGTTCCTTGGGGTTCCCTGGCCAGTTGGGGAGACCCAGGTTCCATGAGAGATTCTGTCGCAGAGTTAAATGGAGAGTAACCGTAGACACGAATGTGGGTCTCTGATTTTTACATGTATGCAAACACACACACACACACACACACTCGCGTGCGCACCTGGTTCTCACTGTCACCACCTCTCTGCAGATGCTGCCACAGGGAGAGAAAGGGGACTTCCTGGCTTCAGAGAGAAACAGTTGAGTTGAACTCAGTGGAAGCCAACTGTTTCAACATTGCGAAGGGCAATTTTTTCAAAAAGATTTTTCATTTGTATGTGTATGTGTGCACCATTTGTATGCTGGAGAACTCAGATGTAAGTTGGGGGTGTCTGATCCCCTGAAGCTAGAATTCCAGGTGGTCATAAGTCACCTGAGGGGGTGGTTCTAGGAACTGAACCTAGGTCCTTTGTGAGAGCAAAGAGCATTCTTAACCCCCGAGCCAGCTCTGCAGCCCCATGAACAAGGGCAAGTGTTTGTCTCTGCTCTGAGGTGGCAAGCAGGTGTCTAGAAGCTGGGCTGCCTCCAGGAGGATGTAAGAGACCAAAGAATGCATAGGGACAGTCACGGCTCCTGGTGAGTCCAGTACCACAGGGAGGCACTTGGGGGATGCCACTCTGGGCATCAGAGTCCAAGTCCCATCTGGAAGCAGGGAGAGACAGCCTCGGTCTCACTATGAACACTGTTCTTAGGGAGAAAAAAAATTGTCTTTTCTCCCACTTAAAGTGAGCCAACAACCCAGCATCCTTTGCGTCTTGCCAGCCCCTCTGTGGCTATGGCAGGAAACATGGTATTATGTTGTTGGGGTTGAAATCCCAAACCTGCAATTTCAGAGCAAATGGAGGGAGCCTGTTTCCTTCCAGCTGTAAAGGGAGCCCCAGAGGCTCCCCTCCCCACACACCTCCCCAGATGTCCCTGCCTCTAGAAGGGACTCATCCCTCCCACTCTGCCTGCCAGGCTTGGGTCTGACTCTCAGAAAGGTATTTGTTTGAGGGGATAGTGTTCCACCTACTGCGGATGGCAGACAAATGCTGCCTAGCCTGTTAGATGTCCCCGGCAGGCAGAAATTGGGAGTCGAGGTAGTCAGTGATCGTCATGTGACACTCAGGGCTGAGCGTAGTAGGTTCTATGGGGGGGAGGGCATGTTTCAGACAGAGGCTTGAGTTGGTCAAGGGCCTGGTATGGAAAGAGACTGAGGCCTGAGTAGGGGGTGGGGAAGGGGTACAAGGGTCCTGTGCAGAAAGCAGCAAGGTTGCTCACCGAGGCAGGGGCTGCCGGGGACAGGCTGTGTGGGGGCGCCATGACCAGACTGGTTAAAGTTGTGAGATGGAAGCCAGATGGGATGGCGGGGGCCAGGGGTTCAGGACATCCTACTTGCTGTCTGCTGGTAGGATCTGCAGGACAGTGATAGAGCGTGCTGTCACTTGTCACACGAGATGGCATAATCAGGAGAAGACATTGGATGAGCCAGCCTCCAGGGAAGGCAGACCTGAGATGGGTCTGGTCCTTTCATCTTGATCAAGGGGCAGCCAGAGCTCAAGCCCTCAGCTCAGCTGGCTTCATAAGCCCATTGTCCCTCAGAGACCAGTGTGTGGCCAGCTACTGAGGCTTTGGTGCCAGTGCAGACTGGTGGAACTCTGCAGTTGGCACCCCACAGGGCAGGGTGTGGGTTAACAAAGGGATGTGACCTTCCCTACCACACAAAGCAGCCAGGTGGAGGGGCCGTGTGTCTTTTCTTGGTCTTTCTTTCTCGATTCTAACTTCAGGTGACTTGTGAAATAAATCATTGGAAGGTGACTATTTCTGTGGTGTGTCATGCCCAGGGTACTGTCGGGCTGCCACTAGCCAGTTCAAGTCTTCTTGTCACTGTCCAGCCTGCCCCCCAGGAAGCCCAGGCTGCACTGGACCTGAGGCTCATGCCTGCACGCCTCCACACCTGTGCACAGACCCATGCTTCATGCCGTGGGGTGACTGTGGTGAGCCTGTTCTCAATACGGCTGTGCTTTGGCTTTCTGTCATGGGAATTTGCTGATTCTTCTGGCTCTAAATGAGCGAAGAAATAAAAACAAAAACAGAATCCAGGCTGGGAAAGTGGTTCTGTCAGGAAAGTGCTCTACAAATAAGAGGACCCGCGTTCCCAGCCCGGAACTCAGGCTTTAAAAAAAAAGACACAAGAACCCGAGGAAAGACGGGCTCACTGGCTGGCCCGTCTGGTGAGCCTGTGTCAGTGAGAGAGTCTGTCTCAAAACATAGGATCAGACCATGTGTGGTGCACACTTGGAATCCTAGCAATCGGGAGGCAGAGACAGTCGGATCTTTGTGAGTTCAAGGCCAGCCTGGTCTATGTAGGAACCTCCAGGCCAGCCAAAACTACATAGTGAGATCTTGTCTCAACAAGGGAAAAAACTCAACAAGGAAAAAAAAAAAAAGGCAAGGTGAGGACTCCTGGGGCTCTTTGGCCTCCCCACAGGACACAGGAAAACACACAAAGAAAAAAACCTAAAACCCCTCCACCCCATCCCACCATTAGTGACCACACCTCCACCCTACTCTGTCACCTGCCCTTCCCCCATTCCAGCAGGTCACAACCCCACCCCCATCCTTCCACTCTCCAGGAAGCCCCACCTTCCCCCCCTTGCCCGGTCCATGCAGGGTGGATGTGTCACACACTAGGATGAGCCTGCTTTGCCCACTGGGTGAGAACACTGCCACCCCACTCCCTGAGGACAGGCAAGCTTTGCAAGGGTCGGGAGTGGGGGTTCCCTTCTGGAACTCAAGAGTCCCAAGGCTGGGCTGTGTCAAATAACTTATTGAGCATCTGTTCTGTGTCCACCCCAGCAATAGTGAGCCACAGAAACAGGAAAGGAAACGTAAAACTCTTATTTGCCATTTAAGAGGTGACATTAGCTTTGAGAGTCAGTACTGGAGAAACAGACTGGGTGACCAAGGGGCAGGGACTGGGAGAGATGGTGGGACCCTAAGGGAGAGGTGTTCCCCAAGCTCCCCACAGGGCACTCCCAGGGTTCCTGAGAATGAAGGAGGCCCCACCCCGCCCTCCTAGCCTCTTGCTCCTCCTCCCTCCAGGTCGTCATCATCTGCCTGGTGGTCCTGGACGCCCTCCTGGTGCTTGCTGAGCTCCTCCTGGATTTGAAGATCATTGAGCCAGATGAGCAAGACTACGCAGTCACGGTAGGAACAAGGCGCAGACACGCGTGACTGAGCTGCAGCCCCAGGCCTATTTTAGATCCTCCTGCCTCAGCTTCCCAAGTGCTGGGGTTGCAGCGTATCTATTTGAAGACAGGGTCTTGTTGGGTAGCCTTGATCTTGAACCTTCAATCCTGGTCTCAGCTTCCCAAGTACTGGGACGATAGCCAGGGCTGGCCAGAGATGTTTAGGTGTGGCACTGCCTAGTTATCTCTAAAGGGTGGAGACCTTGTCCTTGATGGTGACACTGCTCCTTGCTCGCTGTCCCCGTAGGCGTTCCACTACTTGAGCTTTGCTATCCTGGTCTTCTTCATGTTGGAGATTTTCTTTAAAATCTTTGTCTTCCGCTTGGAGTTCTTCCACCACAAGTTTGAGATCCTGGACGCCATCGTGGTGGTGGTGTCTTTCGTCCTTGACCTCGTCCTCCTGTTTAAAAACCACCACTTTGAAGCACTTGGTCTGCTGATCCTGCTTCGGCTCTGGAGAGTGGCCCGGATCATCAATGGTGCGTCTCCTGGGCTACATGGGGGTCCGTGTGCTGTGGTGGGCACTGAGGTGGCACTACAGTCACCAGATACCCGGGATCTCATCCCTGGTCTGTGTCGTGGCTGCCGCCTCTTGGGCATCAGGAGCAGTGAGTGATGGTAATATCTGGTGACGAGTGTTACCTCTAGCTGCCAACTGTGCTTGCTCAGAAGCCATTTCACACTCCTCTGCCCGCGCTTTCCAGAAGGTGGTCAGGGAAGCGTGGGACTTGTGCCCAGGGCAGCACTTGAGGGCATCCTCCGAGAGGGACAGACAGAGCACTCTGGGGTGACGACTCTACCTCAGGGTCCCCACATGGAGCAGGTCAGGCAGCACAGGTGAAGGCATAGGAGCTCCCACAGGCCCCGAGTGACCCTCCTGCTGCAGACACTCCTCAGCATTTCTTGGCTTCCGTCTCTAGAGAGGACACCCAGGGCCGTCTGGCTCTGTCCAAGTCCAAGTGCTGCCCCTGGCGCCTGTGTCTGAGGAGCCGTGGTTCCCTGGGTCTGTGGCTGGCTGGCAGCTAGAGCCGTTCTGTCCTGTTCAGTAACCACAGCAGTCGCCTTGAGCTGTCCCCCTCAGTTCTGCTGCAGAGGGCTCAGGGAACCTAGATGCTGAGGCAGGCTTGGGAAGCCTGTCATGAGAGGGTGGCAATGGGGCCTGTGTTTGGGGTGGGTGTGTCACCTGACGGGGCTGGTACGTCATGTAGCACAGCCCACTCCGTCAGGGCCTGCAGGTAAAATGGGCCTCTGGGGCTGTGGGATGGCAGGTGGCCACCACTAAGCAAATTCAGCTCTGGGGAGAAGAGAAAAGCAAAGCAGACAAGGAAGAATCCTGTGGTGGGTGGAGACAGAGGTGATAGGCTAGTAACACAGAGGGGTCAAATGAATGTATCAAAGAGACAGATGTAAAGGGTTTATTCAGTGTACCACAGTGCAGCCACAGTGAGTGGTTCCCTGAGGGGGTGCCTGGGCTGAGAGGGCTGGAAGCCTCACACTGCAGCTGGGCAGGTAACTGTTGCACTCTTGGGCCTCTCTGGCCTGCATCCGAGAGGCAGTACTGTGGGTCACTGGAGCCATGTAGGCATCCCAAGTCAGCAGTCAGATGCCAATCCATCAGGGCCGTGCTACAGCACGGGGGTCCCTGCTTTAGCTTCTGGCCTTTTTATCGCCACACTCTGGACTCTGACCAGGGAAGACAAGCAACTTTCAGTTGCTGCTAGGGACACTTGTCCCTGGGGGACAGGAACACAGCTAGCCTGTAGAGACCCTGCAGCCATGCGCCAAGCTGCCGACTCCTGAGCTCAGAAGTAACAATGTTGCCTTCCTCATGGGCACAGCAGTGACAGCTGTCTCTACATTGCCCAAAACTCTGTGCGAGTCAGAACACAAGTCTCGGGGCTGACACTTGACACTAGGCTTCATGATCCAAGTTTAAGCTGTAGGACACATGGTGAAAGGACAGACAGACTTCCTATGCTGTCCACAGGCACTCTGTGGTGCACATGCACCCACTCCTCCCAAATCCCCTCTCGCACATGTTTAAGACTTCAGCTGTTGCGCCATCAAAACCCTCCCCTCCGTTCTAGGCATCATCATCTCTGTGAAGACGCGCTCGGAACGGCAGATCCTGAGGTTAAAGCAGATAAACATCCAACTGGCCACGAAGATCCAGCATCTGGAATTCAGCTGCTCCGAGAAGGTAAGACTCAAATGGTCCCCTCAGCACACACTGACCCCACGCCTGTAGCTCCTCCTTCTTGGTCTTTTCAGTGTAGGCTCCAAGAGCCAGGTCCAGTCCCTCCTCTGGGTGACTTATTCCTGCTATCACTGCCCAGGGCCCTTCCTGAAAGCCTTCAGTAGGCAGAATGCCAGACTGGCTCAGGGCACTACCTAGTATGTGTCTGCTTTTACAACAGGAACAAGAGATTGAGCGGCTCAACAAGCTGCTGAGACAGAACGGACTTCTCGGGGACGTGAACTAGCCTTCCAGATGCCCCACCTAGAGGAGCTGGGCTGTGGCCAGACAACGTGTGGTGTGGAGTCCAGTCCCCATCTCTGCCTTGGCTTGCACTCCGGGATGCTGGGCACACATCTTTACTGGTGCTGCTGCCTCCTCGGTGTCCACGCCATACGCCTGCAGCAAAGGAATCGTAACCTTTTCTCAAGCTGGACTCTACTGTCGCTCGGGAGTGATCCAGGAAGCTGGGCTTGTAAAACCAGCTTAATGCACATCCTGAAAGGACCTGGAGCTGGCACCCTGTACCAGCACATTCTGGAAAACCTTTCTCTACTAGATGGTCCACAGCTTTTCCTGCTGCATTCCCTAGGGAGCCATCATGGTACCCAGGCCCTCCTCTGCAGCATCCAGCTGTGCCATCAGCTTCACGCTGGCTCTGTACCCACCAGCATTTCTCAGTTACTGTACAGTTAATGTATAAAGTCAGTGCTCTCCTTCCCCGAGGCTCGCCCACCACATTTTCTCCTTGGTGGCAGCCACAGCAGCCCACCAGTTATATAGCCAGCTCATGGCAGGGCCCCAAGACTGCCCTGTAATTAGCATGATCTTGGGGTACAATCCCCTTGTGGGCATACAGTTTTACACAGCCTCTTGCTGCTTTGTACTTCTCAAATGCTGATGGGATTCTGAAGACAACTCCCACTAGCCCAGGGACGGTACACCGAGGAGGCTCTCCATGCATTGCTACGTCAGGCTCTGTTCCCGCCCATCGCCCAGAGATGATGTGGCCTTTGACCTGTATGTGCAGGGTGCTGGACCATCCTACCCAACACCGTAGCCCAGCAGAGTAAAGTTCCTGAGAGGGAAAAGGCAGTGGAGTGGGGCGGGGGGAGGAGGCAGCCAGGTTCCTGTCCTCCTGAGTCCAGGATGGGTACTCACTTCTGCGAGGGCCACCTTGTCACACAAATGGGAAGAAGAAGCTGAAGGGCAGCCTGGCATTGATGGTGGGTGGAGCGCGGAAGCCTGCCTCTGCAGGGGCTGACACATCCACAAATGTCACTGCAGTGGAGATGACGACGGTCCTCTCAGGCCCTGGGAGGGGCTGTAAGGAAAAGACAGAGCCGACACCCTCATCACCTCCCTCACTCATCAGCCCTCATGGTGGTCAGCCTCCCTAAGGCACGAACGTGGCTGAGGAGGAGCACTGTGCAGCTGAGCACTCTGCCACAGACTACGCTGGTCCAGCAGCGGCAACCATGGTTCAGTGTTCACAGAACTGTGACTGCTGTCGCCTTTCTCTCTAAGTACAAGTTAAAGAATGATCAGGAAATTAAGTTTTAAGACTCAAAATCAAGTTAGGCATGATGGTGCCTGCCCGTTAATGCTCAGGAGCCTGAGGCCAGCCTGGGCTACGTGAGAAGACCCAGCAGGCACAGCAGCATGTGGGAGCTGTGACGTGAGGACGGCCAGCTCAAGCCCCAGCCCCAAGACCCCGCTGTAAAGGACCTGAGTTCCAGAGAGAGATGATAATCTTTCATCCCAAGTAATAAACTTTTCCCATCCCCCTTGCTGTCATCAGGCCTTCTGTCTCTATCTCCTCATTTTGTTTTGCTGTGGTTAATTTCTCTCAGTGTGAGGCTGGAGGCTGTCCCAGAGTAAGAACGGGTCTATGCTGTTCTGTGTGGTGGTGCACCTTTAATCCCAGCACTCAGAAAGCAGAGGCTGGTGGATCTCTGAGTTCAAGGACAGCCAAGGCTACACAGAGAAACCCTGTTTTGGGGAAAAAAAAAGAAAAGAATAGGCCTACTCCTGGGCAGCACGCCAGCCCCCTACCTCTGGGATTGAGATGAGCCGGGCAGTGACATTTACTATCCTGGCCTGGGGGTTCAGCAGGGACCCATACTTAGTCCACTTCACTTCTATACCCAAAGCCACAGGAAGCTGGCAAGAGTCCTGCAAGAGAAAACCAGATCAAACCAGAATATTACACAATCACAAGTCAGACTAACTCTGCAGTTGAGCATTTTAATTATAAAATGTTTCCCAATTACAGAATGTTCGGAACACTAGGGTGAACGTGTGATACAAGTTCAGGTATAAGCAACTTCACAGAGGCCGAGTGACTAAAGCAGCCTGTGCTACAAGTGCCACCCCACCAGCTCCTCCTCTTCCCAAAGCCAGTCACTGCGGATTTGTCACTACCCAGTGGTGGGACTCTCAGGGCCTCAACCAGTCCTCATCCACCTCAGAGATGTTTCTGGGCACTGGGTGGGGGTCAGCAGGGAAGACAGAATTTAACAGTGAAAAGACGAACTTGCTTGTATCTGGTGTTAGAATGCAAACAGGAAACAAGCATTCTTTCATAGAATTTTACCTTCTAGCAAGCAGTGAAGATACATCTTGGGGGGGGGGGATGGCTCTGCAGTTAAGAGCTACTCTTACAGGGCCACCTGGCTTCAGTCCCAGCACCCACACAGCAGCTCACAACCACCTATAACTCCAGTTCTAGGAGACCCAACACCCCCTTCTAGCCTCTGCAGGAACCAGGCACCACATAGTGCACAGATATACACGCACTCACACACATTTTTCCTTATCTTAAAAAGACAGCTGGGTGGCACAAGCCTTTCCTCTCAGCACTTGGGAGGCAGAAGCAGGCAGATCTCGGAGTCTAAAGCCAGCTGATCTGTAGCTGGCGGTAGAGTCAGTGTCTGTATGTTACCAAAGGTAACAGTGCAGGGTAGCAGTGGTGCACACCTTTATTCCCAGCACTCAGGAGGCAGAGGCAGTCAGATACTTGAGTTCCAGGACAGCCAGGGCTACATAGAGACCCTGTCTCAAACAATAAAACAAAGGTAGTAATAGTGCATCATCTTTGCTGAGGTAAATGGAGTTAGGTCTCCCAGCCTTCCTCTTGCTAAGAACTGGAACTGCAGGAGCTGCAGTGGGGAGGAGGGGCGCCTAAGCTACAGTACTTGCCTGGATGTTTCAATTTCCACATGTATTCTTCTAAATTATGTCCTGGCTTAAAAAGCCAGCAGACCTGCTAAACTGGGGTCTGCCAAAAGCAGTCGCGGGATTCCTTAGCTTACAAGTGTCATTTAGAAACCTTGTCCCTGTGCTGGCCTGCCAATATCCCGTTGCTAGGAGCTGCTACAGGTGCAGTGGGTGTGAACAGCAGATGCCCTGGGCCTGCTTCCCCTGGCACTAATGACTGGTGTCTTTACCCAGTGCCAGGAAGCTAAGAGCCATACCCCAGGTTCACTGGAGGCTGAGCGCTCCTTGGAATGGGGATCTGGTGAGGTTCCTCTCCCCACTGAGCCACTCCTTATAAATATACAAAGCAGATAATGAGAGGCCTGAAGCAGCTGAGACAAGAACTAGCTGGGCAATTAGGGGAGAATGGAGCGCACACCTCCGCTGGGGATGGCCCACGCTTTGCTGCTAAGACAAAAGGAGGAGGTGGGCAGAGGAGTCACGTGTGACCAGGAAGCTATTTGTAGGATGTCAGCTTCCATTAAACTCTTTGGGGAACTTTGGAGTTGAAAGAGCTCATGTGGGGGTGGGCTGCCATCACAGCCCAGAGGGCATGGAATGGAAGTAGTGGAGACAGGAGGCTACGCCCCATGTCTCTCATGTCACCAGATGCCCGAGGAAGGATGACTGCATCACTGCCACCCAAGCTGACTGACCTGCACTGGAGGACTGCAGGAAGGTCTGGAGTGCCTAATGTCCTGGGTTTTGGAATATTTGCACAGCCATGATGACTGAGAAACTTCTGAGGCTGGACAGGAAATATACTGTTCACGTCCACCTCACACAGACAAGCTAGAGATATTTCAGTGAGCCCAAGTTTTGACTGTAGCCACTACATGAGGCCATTGGTGGTAACGTGTTGGCACTAAAAAGTTTCAGATTTAGATGTCACTTTTTTGGGTTAGATTTCTCAACCATGTTTGACTATGGTGGTCACTTGTGCTTCCAGTTTATGGAGTGACCACTGTGTCCAGCCAACAGCCAAACAAACAACCCTCTGGAACAACCCTGAGTGGTCAGTGATCCTGTTTCTGGAGGGCTCTAGTAGGCCCAAGCATGACAAACATGGCTCTGGCAGCCCTTACTCTTGATCCTCTCTACCTTGTTAAATCCCTTATAAATTTCCACTTGCCTATGGGCCTTGTCCATTTCCTCTCTGTCCAGAGGCAGTCTTTTGTCCCAACAGGGCAAATATCGAGCCCCCAACCCCTTGTTCCTTTTCCCTTCTCCCTCACCCTCTAACTCCTGTCTCTGTTTCTTATTCTCTGCCCTTTGTCCCTCTGGGGCAAATAAATCTCCTTTGTCCTGAGAACTGGTCTTGGGGTGTCCTATGCTGATTCTGATCCTTTCAGTTTCCAAAGGGAAGCAAACAGAGGCTTGAAAACCACTGATGAAAGGCATCGTGAGGAAGAGCAGAGCTGGGAACCAACCCAGCTTGTCTGCAGGGCCCCCCTTTCCCCCCCCCGCCATGCATCCCTAGCTGCCTGTGGTCCACCTGGAGGGGGACGGCACACTAGCAGGTGGCCAGCAGCCTCTCACACTCTTACCTTCATGTTGGAGGAGTAGGTGACAAAGTGCACAGGCACCCAGTCCTGCACATCCTGGGCCTGGGAGTTCCCAAACGCAGCCACATAGTCAGGGAAGGCCTGGCCTCTCAGCAGGTCCTGCATCTTCTGTGCCAGAAGCCCACACGGGATGGTGCCTGTCAACCTTTGGGAAGGAAAGAGAGTCCAACAGAGGGAGGCACTGACAACCTCCAAAACACATCAGCCTCTATTCTTCTATCCTTCCTTCCTCCAGCTGCTAACATGACCCTGACTGGGGCATCCTGGTCATGGAGATAGCCCAAAGCAGCTTCCCAACCTGTCCCACCTCTCCTTCTCTCCCTCCCTCCCATCCCCCCTCCGAATGTTGTGCCACGGGCAGAAGCCAGGCCACACAATGGCTTCCCATATCCTGTCCTCCTGAAGCATGCTGGAACACCACATCCACAGGAGGGAACCAGGGTTTGTCTGGGCTCCTGCATCCTGGCATCCTGTGGCAGAGTGTTCAGTGGAACTCTTAGGAAGCAACACTAATCTGAGAGCTGAGCTTGCAATCAAACTAATAACAGTCACTCCAAAGATGTGGGAAGGGCATGGGGGGGGGGGGAAATGAAAGGTACAAAGAGAAGGGTTTGTACAGTGTAGAATTCAGCAACAAAAGACAAAGATCCATAAAGGCCATTACGGTACTCAGGAGGCTGAGGGGGAGGGCCAGGAGTTTGAGCCTGCCCTGAGCTGTGTAGGGAGGCCTTGCCTCTATAGCACAGTCCGGCTTACTTTCAGTTGTTCTGTTGTGCTGTGTGTGTAATAAAAATTAAAAATCCAGAAATAGGAAGGGTTTTCAGAGGAAACATTTTGCTCAGAGCTCAAATACTGTTTGCTAATTGAACCTTATGCATGATGCGCCAAGCCCTGAGGTCAGCCTTGGCTGTGTGAGGGAAGAGGAAAGGCTAAAATTGAAGGCTGTGTGCTCTCTTTGCTAAGGCACTCACCTGAGTTGACAGCCAGACTGCACATTGTAGCCAAAGAGCACGGGGGCCCGGAGTCCCTCGCTGGCAAGGCAGTCCTGCTCGCCTGTGCTACGAAGAATAGTAAACTGGCCTTGTCTGTTCATTGTCTGAATTATCCCAGACATTCACAGACTGTTAAGGGACAGTCAACAGTTCCAGAGCAGCCAGACTGTTTGGGAAGAAGATGGCATCATGCGTGCCATGAGGCAAGAGTGAGATGCAAGCTCCCCCAGGCCCCTGGCCTGTTACCAGGAGGGGGCAAAACATGCCAGTCAATCTCTTCCTTGATTGGCTCATCTTCCAAACTAATTCCAGCCAGCTGTGGTGGGCAGGCCCGTAATCAAGCTCCTCAAAAGGCTAAGGAGGGTTGCACATTTGAGCAACCTGACCTACATGTGAGTTGTGGGTGCCATGCCAGTCAGGGCAACCTGCCGGAAGCTTGTTTCAAAATGAAGTGTAAGGAGTGTGCTGAGGCACAGCTCGGTGGAAGAGCGCTCGCCTAGTATCTCAAGACCTGATTTAAATCCTCACCAATGTGAACTGGCCGGGTATGCCAGGCACAGGCACAGGCCTGTGGTCAAGAGGCTGAGACAGGAGGATACTGAAGTCAAGACCAGGCCTCGGCCAGCCTGAGACTTGAAGCAACGCCAATGAGTGACCTTTGATCCCAGCACTCAGAGGCAAGGCGAAAGGATCTGTGTGAGTTTGAGGCCAGCCTGGTCGACATAGTGAGTTCCAGTACATAGCAAGAGAGACTTTCTCAAGAACACAAAACCAAAAGTGAATAAATAAATCAAGAGTCAAACCCTTCTGCCTCCATCTGTCCTTTTAAACGCACTACCATCTTTCCCAAAGCACCAGACTCTACTTAAACCCAGCCACATTTCAGTGGCCCGGAGTGGCCCGTCAGGTATCTCCTCCTCATGGGCTACCCACATCCCCCTTGGCAACAAATGGGAGCACAGCCCACCCATGCAGACAGAGAAGGTGACCTTCTCCACAGACCCTCAAAAAGGATACCCCTTCTGAGGCTGAAAGCCAGCGGCCAGCGGGAGTCCCACCCTGTAACCAGGATTACCGCTGAGAGGAACGGGCTTGGTGCCATGCTGAAAGACAAGGGGATGACCTGTGCCACATTATTTAGGTAAGAGTGGGGGCAACACAGTGCTCTCACTGTAACATCTGGAAGAGCAGCTCCCTCTGTTCTCAAGTATAAATAGATCCCGGAGAGTGGGAGGACAGCACTCTGTGAGTCTGCAAGGCACGGGACAGCACCCGGCTTCCAGGCAAACCCCACCCACCGGCTACTGCAGTGCAGGCTGGGAGCTGGGTCATGCTTCTAGATTGACAGTGCTGCCCCCAGAAGCCAGGCTTTCCTCAATTTGGCATCCACGCAGAACTCTCAAACTCACCTGAATAAATTGAATCTCAAACTTCTGCTCCAGGAGACTCACTGTGCTGCTCAGTGTCCCCAGAACGAGGGAGAGGCCAGCTTCCAGGATCTGGCCTGAGGCTGTGTACAGCAGACTGTACTTCACCTGGGAGAGAATGGGGCTCAGCAGCCATGTTACCAACTCTAATGAAGCAGCCACAGAAAAGCGGCACCCCCAAGACTGTTGTCCAATCACATCACTCTTGTCCCCTTAGCGTCCCAGTGAACAGCCACCTCAACCTCTCTGAGCCCAGGTTTTTGACATTTTAGATCACCTGATTCAAGCACAACGGGAACAGCCTACTTCTGCAGAAGAAATGAGTCCAATCAAATAAATGGTGGTGATAATAAACTCTACTTGTAGTGCATGTAGTGAGTGTGTTGTGTGTCCACGCGTGCACATACAGAGGCCAGAGGCTAGAGAATGACAGTGGTATCTTCCTCTGTAACTCTCTGCCTGAACCACAAGCTCTCAATTTCAGTGAGGTTGCTGAACAGTGCACTCTTGGGATCTGCCTGTCTCTGTCCCCTAATGCCGGGGTTATAACCTGGTGTAGTAGCCATGCTTGGCTTTTTACATGGGTGCTGGGGATTTGAACTCAGGTCCTCATGCTTGTGGAACAAACATTCTTACTCCACTGAGCCATCTTCCTAACCATGGACAAGAAAATTTTGATGTATTCTTACAAGGTGTTAGATTTATGGAGACATATAAAGACCTGTCCTCTGATGAGAGAGGAGAGCAGCAGAAGCAACTACAGGCCAGACAAAGAAAAGTATCAGCACAGTATGGACCAGAGTCCCCTCTGGAAGGTATGCAGTTCCCCTGTAGCCAACAGGCTGGGGCCAGGCAGTTGGACCAGGACTGCAGAGGCACACTGGATGCCTACCTGGAGAACAACGTTGCTGCAGAGTCTGTCTTGTCCAGTGCTGACCAGAGACGGCCGCAGGACACCATGGCCTTCTAACTGGGTCAGTGTGTGATTCAGAGACCGATACATTACAGACTGGATCTTGATGGAGACCTGAGAGGAGAAGTATCCTTGGTTATGAGGCTACCACATGTGACATAAAGCATAGGTGACCCTATTACAGCACCCAGAGCCTAAAATGAACACTTTCACTTATAGTGACAGCAACTGTAAAGCGCAGGACACACACACTGCCATACACTGTTCACACTGTGAACTCACTTTTGCAAGAATGCAGGTATTTCTTTGCAAACACACACACATACATACATCTTCAAAGGAAACTCATAAAGTGTGATCTAAGATGGCTATTCATCACAGACGTGGAAACAACCTGGAAGTCCATCAGCTGAGAAATGGACCAGTGTCAAGTGTCCATCTACACAAGGAACATGACTCATATATAAAAACCAAATCCCCAAACATGCTACTGCATGGGCGAATCTTGAAAACATCAAATGTAAAAAAATCAGACACCAGGGACTGGAGAGATGGCTCAGCAGTTTAGAGTACTGACTGCTCTTCCAGAGATTCTGAGTTCAATTCCCAGCAACCACATGGTGGCTCACAACCATCTGTAATGTGATCTGATGCCCTCTTCTGGTGTGTCTGAAGACAGCTACAGCATACTCTTTAATAAATAAATAAATCTTAAAACAAAGAAACCAGCCACCAAAGGCCACATATACTGCAGATTCCACTCAATATGGGATGTCCACACAGGCAAATGGACAGAAACCGAAGTGGTCATCAGGGACTGGAGCAGAATTGAGAAACCTATGGAGGGATGACAAAGGGATATTGGAATTTTTTTTTAAGATTTATTTATTTATTTCATGTATGTGAGTACACTGTAGCTATCTTCAGACACACCAGAAGAGGGCATCGGATTCCATTACAGATGGTTGTGAGCCACCATGTGGTTGCTGGGAATTGAATTCAGAACCTCTGGAAGAGCAGTCAGTGCTCTTAACTGCTGAGCTATCTCTCTAGCCTGATATTAGAATTCTTTTTTTTTTTTTTTTTTTTTTTGGTTTGGTTTTTCGAGACAGGGTTTCTCTGTGTAGCCCTGGCTGTCCTGGAACTCACTCTGTAGACCAGGCTAGCCTCAAACTCTCGAACTCAGAAATCCGCCTGCCTCTGCCTCCCAAGTGCTGGGATTAAAGGCGTGCGCCACCACTGCCCGGCTTGGAACTCTTAAGAGTGATGAAAACCTCCTAGAGTTAGACCACAGAGACGCTGGCACAACCTTGTGACGACACTAAAGGCCACAGCATTGGTCACTTTGACAGAGTGGCCAACATGTGGGAGAAGAGGGTTTACCACCCAGCACCAAAGAAGGGGAAGACTGCATGGCACATTACAAATATACAATTCCACAGCATGGCCAACTGTGCATGTGTGTAAACACACACACACACACACACACACACACACACACACACACACACACA